TCTATTCTATTCTATTCTATTCTATTCTATTCTATTCTATTCTATTCTATTCTATTCTATTCTATTCTATTCTATTCTATTCTATTCCATTCCATTCCATTCCATTCTATTCCATTCCATTCCATTCCATTCCATTCTATTCTATTCCATTCTATTCCATTCTATTCTATTCCTTTTCCCTTCCCCCTTCCCTCTTCTACACCACTCAGGATCCAAACCACTTCTGTGCCAGAAGAGTTTTCTGAGTCTTTCCCACCAACCCCCCTCCAACTTATCAAGTTTTTAACTTCCACTTGAAGCACATTTCCTCTTCCAACCTCCACACATCAGACCAAGCCTGGGTAAGAATTCATTTCTAAAATATTTCCCCATGACCACACTTGACCTCCCCTCCTCCCACTCGGAGGGCAGGCGCCGACCCCGGGCTGTTATCTCAGCAAACACGGGCACACCTCGGGCCTGCTCTCACACTTTGTAACGTTCCCTTTGTCCAAACAGCCAAACCAGGCCCTGCACCACCACCAGCTCGCTCCTGACACAGCAGAATTATCAGCACGAAGCAAAACTCAGGGCTGGAAAAGCACGGCCGACCAGCAAAACCAGCGGGCAACTTCAGGAGGCAGCAGGGCAACGATTTGGGTGGTGATTTGGGTGATGGAGATCACTGAGTGTGGGCAAAGTGTTCATTACAGCTGGACATCTCAGCTGGACCCCCAAAATGTTGTCTGGTTGTCCTGAGTCCCCTCCCGCAGCTCTCACCTTCTGCTCCTGGATCTGAGCTTTCACCACCTTGTACTCGGCAGAGGGAGGTTTCTGGTTGGAGATGAGCTCCTCAGTGTCTGCCAGCCAGCTCAGCAGTGGCTCCAGGGCATCCTGGAACTTCCCACAGTGCAACAGAGCCTCCTGCAGCTGAGCCACTCGCTGGGCCACCTGCACCCCAAAAAACAACCCCACGGCAGTGTCAGGTACCAGCTCTGCAGCCTCAGCTCCCTGCCTGTGGTCCCCTCCTTCCCCCAGACCCCAGGGAAAGCAGGGACAGCCTCTCCCCATGCTCCCACCTTCTTGTTGAGGGTGTTCCAGCGGGTGTTGATCTCCTCCATGTCATGCTCCAGCCCTTGCACATCACAGTTTTTCCCGGCGCTTTGGATGAGTCCCTGACCAACTCCATTGACCTGCTGCAGCTTTAGCTGGAGGGGATCCACTTGCTCCTTCTGGAATTGCTGTGGGTGGAAAAGGTGGGAGAGAAAAGGTGATTTATCAGCTCTGAGCTGCTCTTCCAGCCACTCAGTCTTTCCATGGATACCTTCCTCTCTAGGGAAGGTGCAGTAGCCACTTGCACTGATTTTATTGGAATTGTGCAAGTTTGTCTGAACTCCTCCCTCGCCTTGACCCAGTGACACAGATGTCACGGGAATCTGCTGGTGTGGAGCACAGCTCAGGGTCTATCCACACCCACCTCTGGTTTTAAATGGGTAAATCTCATTTTTCCAAGCACTGGAGTGAGGTAAAAAAGAGAAAACTGAGGAAGAAATGAGAGCATCGGCTCTGACTCGCCATCAGATTGGGAAATAATGCTCCTGGGGAAAAACCCCAAGCAATTCTCACAGTGAAGCTATTGAGAACGGAGACCTGACATCACATGAGTTTTGTTAACCACGAAATTACAGGCAGCGAGGAGCTCGCTGTATTTCGAAAGACAAAGGCAATAGGCAATTAATGTGCGAGTCGTTTACCACGGATTTGGCACGGTCCTGCCTGGGAATCCTGTGGGGAAAAGCTTTCTAAACCAAAAAAGATTTGATAGGGAAGGGGGAGGAGAGCGAATGAAGCTCCCCATTGTCAGGAGAGGCAGCAGGGAGAATCCTGTTCCTCCAGAGGAGATAAATGCTCTTTATCAGAGCCGGGGATCGGCTGGAACCACACGCTGGCCGTGCACCATCCCTCTCCAGTCTTTCCTCACCGGTCCCAAGGGACAAGCCTGCCCTGTCCCCTACAACAAACACCCCAAATCCCAGAAATAGGGAGCAGATTCCTGGCTCACCCTGCTGCCCTGGCCCAGGAGCCCATGCAGAGCATGGGTCACCCTGCAGCCGGGGCTGGGCAGGAGCAGAACCCTTGGCCCTGGCACCTTTTCCCGTTGGGAAGCAGAGGGGATGGCAGCCAGCCACCTGCTCCCCGTGCCCAAGAATGCACAGACGCTGCCTGCACTGAAAAATTCCCACTTGGATGCAAGATCTCCTCCCCCAGCAGAGCAGCAGCTCGTGGGGGACACGGCTCTCTGCGCCCGGCAATCGCTTTGCTCCGGAGGAGCACAAAGCAAAACTCCCTAAAAACACCGAAATTCCCCAAAACACACAGGCACAGCTCCCAGCCTGAGCAGGAGGCACTGCTGTGACTTTCCCTGCCCTCGTTTCCAAAGGGAAAAAAAAAAAAAAAAAGCTACTTTTTTCCCCAGCAGGGCTCAGTAACCGGAGGGCAGGGAGGTCCCTCCAGGACATGAGCGCAGGGTGAGCTGGCAGACACTGTCCAGAGCTGTTTGCTCATGGAGAATTCTGCCACGGTTATAAGAAATAAATGGGGACTTGGAATCACTGATTCCCGGGCTGTTCTCCTGTTACTGTTTATATATGGAGCTGCTGGGTAGGAGAGCCAAACCCACAAAAGGATCAGGCTGATAAGCTTGGCATGCTGGGCTGGTCCGAGCTCTCCATGGGCTGCAAAACAAACTCCAAAGGAGGCAGGCAGGGAGGGAGCCCTGTGGAAAAGCCTGGATGGTCCAACCAGGGGTACCTGCAACACAGGTATGAACCAGCCTGAGAGCCTGATGCTCCCTGAGGAGCCTGACAAAAATAATCCCAGCAACAGCCTGAGGGTGAGCGTGTCCAACACACTTGTTTTCCTTTGCTCATAAAAGATTCCAGTGATTTAGTTCATTAACCTCACTGTGACTCAGCTTGGAAACAAACATTTAACGACTCCCCTTTGCCGTGGAGCGAGGTGTCCTGCCCTGGGGAAGAGCTGGACAGACATTTTGGGAGAGCAGGAGGACATCTGCTCCCACCACACCTCCTCCTCACTCCCACAAAGGCTTCCCAAAGCATCCCCTCGATTTCTGCTTCCCTCATCTCCCTTAACCCCACTGCTGCTGGATGTGGAATTCCAGGAAGCATTTTTCCAGCAACGCTTGGAGCAAGGGCAAGGTTTGTGGGGTTAACAATCAGAGGTGCTGAGCCTAAAATAAGGGTCCCCCACACTGAATTTCAAGCAACAAGACATCTATGACAAGAACCCAGCGGTTTTTCCCTCACCCAGGTCCCCTCTGGGTGTCCCAGCCCGTGCTCACATGGACCCCCCATGTGAAACCACCTCTCCAAGCCCCTCCACGTGTGCATCTCAAAGGGGTGGTACAGCCCAAAGGATGAGTAATTGCCACCAAATCGGGATTTTTGGTGCTGACTAACTTCTGATGTCTCCTTAGTGATTATTTCTCCTAATCCAGATGGCAGGAAATCGGCTGTGGGAACTCCAGCACCGAGGTCTCTCCAGGCAAGAGCCACGAGCAACAAAAATCCCCAAACACCAGAGAGAAGCAGAGCCCCTTCCTGAGCTCCTTCTGAGCCTCAGCACCTCAGTCCTCACAGAAAAAAAAAACAAAAAACCTGCAGACAGCGATGACTGCACGGGACAGGAATTGCTTGCACTTAATTCATTTTACAGGTTTCTCTTTCCTGATATATTTTCTGCTTCAAAGATGGGAACTCCCTGCCAGGAGCCAGCGAGAAGGTTTGTCTGAAGCCCGTGATTTCCATCTGAGTGACCAAAATGTATTTTAATAAGCCAGAAAGTGTCAGTCAACATTTCAGGTCATCGAGCAGCCAGAATCTTTTGCCTCCCTTACTTACACAACCACACAATTCCACACCCCCC